TGTGTTATTTGTTATTTCGAAGGGTCACAGGTTAGGATTGTGAGCCGCTCAGTTGTTGGTCGCCTCTGGAGTGGCTTTTCATGATGCAGCTGTGCGACACATGCATGGTGGAGGCTTCTTCTCATTGCTGAGACTTCATCATTTTTGCCTGAAGTATCTACCTAGCTAGCAGCAACAGACTAAAACCGTGTGCAACAACAGCAGAAACAACACATCATATGGGTTGACTGACGGCGATCAGCAGCCAAGTCGCACTGGCCTCAGCCCACTTGAGGTTGTGGCATCCGGATTGGAAGTGGGTGTTCGTTGTGGATTTGGGGTTGTTTTCTTGTGTGTGCTATAGGTCGCCCGGCCAGCTCGGTGTCGAGGGCTACGGTTCTGCCTCGGAGGCTGGCTGTTTGCCCGTTCTGTTCACAGTCTCAATTTTTGGGATCTTTGGTTTTGGGCTGGCTAATGGGGGTTTTTCAAGCTCCCTGACTGTTCCAGGCTCCATCGTTGAGTGCATCAGACGACCCCAGTGGCATCAAGTGGCAGAGGCAGAGGTGTTGGTTGGTTTGCAACCTTTAGTTTTTCTCCGGCCCTGGAAGGATCCGGTGGCATTGGTTCCATCTGCTGTGGCACCCGTGGAGGACTTCATTCGGACTTCATCGTTTTGTTTGCTGTGCGGGAAATCCAATCTCTTGAAAGGAGCAGTCGCTCATTGAGCACATTGCCATCAGCAGCGCAGGATTGTTGTTTTCGTTTCTGGGTTTCTCTTTGGCTGCCAGCTAGCGGCAGCTAGCGACAAGTGAGCCTGCAACACAGCCGAGCTCTTGCAAGGACATATCCGAGACAGATGGGCCGAAGGACACTGTGCTTTTCGAGGCACCCTCGCATAACACACATGCCGGCAGGATCAGCTGACTTCGGCGTCAGCGACCACGGCACTTGTTCCATACAGTCGATACAGGTCTCCTTCTCAGCTTATTTCCCCTTGCGTTGGGTAGATTAGGGCATTAGGGCGAAAGGAGCATGTCGCTGACTTTAGGAGACCTTGACCAATCGGGCTCGCTCGACGTGTCCCTGCAGGATGCCATTTCTTGTGTGCGAAGGTTTAGTGCTGTGTGGCTATAGGTTTTGATTTTGTGTGTTTGATTGCCGGTGTTGCAAGGACCGGATCGCTTGTCGATGACGGGACACAGAGGCGGACGCGGCGTTGCAAATATGTGTTTTGTGGGTCGTCGCACACACCGCTAATCGGCTAGGCGGCTGGGCCTGGTGCGTTGGATTCTGGATCCATCCCCAGGACAGTGTTGATCTTTGCTCGTCCCGCCACTTTGTTCTATCCTTGAAGCTCGTTGTAGGACTTCGGCGACCAAAGTGGCTCGAGGACTCCGTCGATTGCTCATCAGTGGTTCCTTTCAGCCGTTGACTGGCAGGACCAGTCGGGGCAACTGTGCATCATGCGTGGAGGCTCGTTCGGACTTGCGCGATGAGACATGTGTAGCCTTTTGTGAGCTGTAGGTGTGGGGCATTGCAGAGGTTTCTGGTTCTGAAGGTTCTCGAGGTTTGGGGTTTTTGATCGCTGAGGCTTACCGGGGCTTCCTTGATGCGAGACACTACTCACTAGTTACTAGTTGCAGGGTTCGATTTGATGTTGTGCTTCCCCAAGCTTAGACTCCATTGGGTTTGGGGCGCCCGGAATTGTTATCTACTCAGGCCTGCCCAATTCAGACAGCCTCCTCCTTGTTCCAGTGATTCTAGTGTAGATTCTAGTGACTCTAGTTGGAAGAGAGTCAGGGTGTGGTGGCGGTGTAGTAACTAACAGTGTAGTAGGGGGGGTGTGGTCCTTGGCCAGATGCAAGATGCTGGGGACGCAGATGCGGCTGCGGTCAAGGAGGCTGCCGACGCGGAGTGGCAGGCAGGTCTTTTGTTGGGCTTGTTGCGGTAGGGCATAAGTCGAGCAAGTAGGCCCGTGATCATCCCGTGGTCTTGGTTTTGGTTTCCATTACACATGTCCGGCCTTCTACTTCAGTCCTAGTGAAGTCCCTAGATTAGTAGTCAAGTGCCTGAAGCTGGGTCTTGTTCCCATCCCAACAAGGGTTTCGAATCCTCGAGTTTGGGCTTCTCGTATAATCCCATTGGCCTTAACTTAGGCCATCGGTGAGAGCTTGCGGGAAGCTTTCCTCGGAGACGGCATGATCGCGCTGCTCCAGGATGGCAACAAGAATAGCGAGATTCTCATGGATCTGTTCAAGAACCTGCTGACAGAGCTCGAGCAGATCATGACGACCGACTACTTCAAGAATCTGGATGCTGGAGTGGCGACATCCTTGCAGAGCCTGAAGCTGTGCTCGCATTGCTTCGTGGCCCTCCTTCACCCCCAGACTGGGTATCTTGGGAGTAACCCTGGGCACGTTTCTGCGGTGCGCAGCTACAAGGGCAAGGATTCCATGCTGCAGACCGCCAACAAGCTCGTCACCAAGAGTTTCTGGCAGGACAAGCATGATGAGATGCTCAAGAAGGCAGGCTCGAGCAAGATTGCGGAGCCCATCTGTGCCCAAGCCCTCCAGTCCCTCGAGCAGCTGGGCTCGGCCAGCCTTGCCAAGGATGCTGCGGAGGCTTTGGGGTTTGCGGTGAAAGAGTTGCCCGGGCTTCGGACAGCCATGCGTGCTGGTGCGACAAATGCCCTGGAGACCATGATGCTGGAGGTGGCGAAGCCATGCCTAAAGGCAATCCTTGAATCCGATGGGGGCAGCCAGCCCCCTCGGTTGATCCAAGCCGTGAAGATGACTCTTCAGCTGATTGGAAAGCCAGAAGATGTGAAGGCTTTGGAGGAGTGGGCTGCTGAGCATGCCCACGCACAGGCGTGGCAAGCTGTTGCAGATGAAGCTGCTGCCCTAGCCCTAATCGCGGCTGGCGATGTGGACTTCAACGCGCTGGCCATGGCCATGTCCCAAGGCCCCACCAAAGAAAAGATGCCGAAGGATGTGATTGATGATCTCGACCGAGCGCTTCCGAACATCATGCGCCACCTCAAGCTCAAGGTCTTTGCAACAATCACAGGGTCGGTTTCGATGTTGTTCAGGTTCAGATCTACAGAAATCGTGTCCTCCAGAATTTCCGGGTCAGCTGGAGTGAAATAGATTTGGTTGAATGAAGTGATGCGAAGTTGTGTTGTGATTGTAGTCACATTGTAGTCACAGTGTGTTGCTGCAAAGCCGAACTTCGGTTTGGCCAAGCCAATCATGCTTGCCAGATGCTTAGTGTCAGTAGCTCAGTAGCCGTAGCCGTCGCCGCCCCAGTAGCAATTGCCAGGAGTAGCTAGTAGCCATAGGATTTCAGGCCCATTACAGAGGTGTGTCGTTGCGCTGCGAGGCTTCAAGCTGCCAGAAGGTTTGCTTTGCATGCTTTTGTGTGTAACTCTATATTGTGCCACTCCCAGACCCGTGTGACTGACTGCCAGCTGCCGTTAGCCTTTGTACGGCAACTGTTGAATGATCACGCACTTGAGTTTTTGTTTCGGGGCTCATGCCAGCGGGGAACATGACCGAGGGACTGCTATAAAACGTTGTGTCCTGTTGGCCTACGCTGCCGCCTTCTGCTGTGATGGTGTGGGGTGTGTGGGGTGTGGTGTGGTGGGGGGTGTGGTGGGGGGGTTGGTTGCACAGGTCAGTGGTTCCATCAACGCCGCCGTGACCAAGGATGCTTTTGATTGTGTCTCCAAGGTGGTGATGCTTGTGCGTGAGCAAAGCCCAGACCAGGTTCGGGCAAGCTTCTTTGACAAGCAGCTCCGTGTGCTGAAGCATGGCTTGGAGGTCAGAAGGCAGGCAACAGGTCTCGAGTCATTGGGAAATGATGCTGAGAGGCGTGCAGTTGTTGATTCCAAGAAGGCGAAGCTCTTTGCTTTCTTGCAGGCCAGGGATGCACTGATGGTTGCGATGAAGGAGCTCCCATGCCTGCTTGGCATCGACATCGAGGGGGTGCTTGAGGTTGACAAGGATCAGTGGGTGTCGAGCCACAGCTTCGACGATGTCTTCAGCAACGACTTGGAGACCTACAAGGTCCTGTGGCAGGACATGCAGCAGCTCCATTTCAACGAGTTGAAGTGCAACATTGGGAAGATTTGTGAGAAGCTGTCAGAGCAGACCCATGATTTGGACATCCCCAAATCTTCCTGGAAGCAGAAGATCGGCGACCCGACAGACCTGAAAAGCACTACTCGGGTCGCGGATCTGACGATTGCCCAGCTTAAAGGGGCCCCGATCACTCGTGAGGTCAATGAGCTGCGCAAGGCTCCCAGTTTCGAAACTGATGACAGTCTGAGGGGATTTGTCGGGGTTTTGTGGTTTGTGGTTGGGCCGTGATATGTTTGGTAGTGCACCTCGATCCTAGCTTCAATAACTCCCTGTCATTCATCCAAGGTCCAAGCCCTCCTGAGCAGGTCGTAGCCGCCTAGCGCTAGCCGTACTCAGTGTTTGAATACTTTTCAATGATGTACCGCTAGATAGGGAGGGAGGGAGGGAGGGAGGGAGGGAGGGAGGGAGGGATAAAAGTAATTAACGATGTAAGCCTAAAACCGAGGGAGATGTGTGTGTGTGTGTGTATGTATGTATGTATGTGTTTCGCCCAGTGCAATTCTAGCCGATTCTAGCCCCGATTAATACTTTGTCAGCTTCATGTCGTGAACATGACAACTCAGGGTCACGTATGTTGTTTTACCGATGGTGACACATCGGCTTGCTCATGGTGCCTATCAAAGTGCTGTAGAATAGAAGGAATTGCAATGGTTTCTTTTACTGCTTGTTCCGTAGATTTCCACAATGCATTGAAAAGGTAACGTGATGCAGGATACATGCCTCGGTCCTCGGTCATGTGTCAGCCCGCTACACTACACCACAAGGGTTAGCTGCTAGCCGCAAGCAGATGTGATGTGGTGGTCAGGGTTCGAGTGTCTGTCTCTATGCGTATGTTTGCCTGCTCATCCCTTTAACAGTCTACAACTGATGTGTGAGATGTAGATGTGTGCTCGTGCGCAGGCGGTCGGCGAGTTTGGGGTTATCATCGACAAGTATCAGAACCTCGGTGCAATCAAGCAGGCTGACAAGCAGGAGCTGAACGATTTCCTGAAGGAGGCTGCCGAACGTGTCAGGTTCGGGAAAGCGCTTTGTGCGGACTCATTGTTGCATTATGGCCTGAGCCAGGGTGGCGACAAAGGTTGCGAAATCATCAGAAGCGTGCTATCCCAGGTAGCAGGTGAGCAAGTCAGCGAAGAGCTACTGTCACCGGCTCTGCTGCACGCAGCACGCCAGCTGCTCGGCTGAGGGCCAGATCTGGACCGTACAGGGACGCCAGTGCATATCGCACCAGCCTGCTAAATTTTAGCTGCTAAATAATGCGAACCTACAGTAAATATTCAAAAATCTTTTGAATGTTGAGGCCGTGCTGCCCTCATTCATTGGTTAGAAAATCCGTTGAAAAGCTCCCTTGTTGGATCCGAGAGCCCGAATCTGGCAGGTTGCAGTAGTTCAGTAGTTCAGTAGTTGTGTGAACCATGTAGCAGCCAGAAGTCCAGAAGCCTTTGTGTATCCAGTGGCACAAGTTTGACCGTTCAAAGTTCGAAGCTGCTTCTAGTCACTAGTCACTAGTCGTTCTAGTCTAGTCACTAGTCTCATTCTTGTCAAGTCAAGTCTATTCGACTCTATTCTATCTCTACGGCTCTATACGGTGGGGGTCGGAGTTCGAGTTCCAAGCACATGTTTCCTCTTCTGAAATGTTTGCAACCAAGATTCCTCGATACTTACGTAACATGTCATACAGACCGGGCCTCGGAAAATCCGAAACACGGCACAATCACTTAAGACGGTAGATTGCATAGGCCCTTAGGCTTTCTCCAAAGCACCCAGCCTTGTTGAAAGGTCCTCCCTGCTCCTTAAAAAGACACGCCCCAAAGTCTTGACGGTTGTGTTTGCATAGTAGCGTAGCGGAGGGAATCGTGTTGCAACAATCATGTGGGTCAGTCTATCGTGAAAGTCATTCATACGGAACGGTTGCATATTGTTAGTTTGCAGCAGGCGTTTTTAGAAGGTGCACTGGCGGCAACCAGAGCGGACTTGCCGCGTGGGTGTTGCAATTGTGAGCAGCTCGCCGGAATCGTTTGCAGCAGCTGCAATACAATATCAATATACAATGACGGTGCATGGGTCAGAAGGCCATTATGACTCATTATGAAGAGATAGAGTGACAGGTTAGTAGATGGCTGTGGGGTGTAAGTTTCCGTGGTTCTGACTATCGAATCTTTTGTTTGGTAGCTGCTAGCTAGCTGACATGGGGATTAAGACTTCGCGGTAACTAGGCCTTGGGTCGCAAGTGCTGAGGCTTTCCGGACTGAGAGGTTGGTGTAAGCAGCCAGAGCGCGATTGTTGGTAACGGTAACGACGGAAATTGTTTAATAGAGTTGGAATCGTTAGAATAATTCAGTGTTGTCTGTGCTGTCGGGAGATGCTTGTTTGTTGACTACGCTAGATTCCGTTTGATTCTGGCAGGCATACCGCGAGCAGGTTTTGGTCGGTTTTGGTCGAACGCTTACGAGTCGGTATCGATACTGATAACAGTCGAATCTAGTAACTAGTAGGTGTAGTATCTGTCTCGTTCAATATTCAATCTATCATCAGGGTGGTAGACGGTAGATGCATGAGAACTTGGAGTCGAGAGTCTGGAGCTGCTTGTTTTGTGCAACATCCCTCCGGGATGCCATACAACAGTATGGATTCTCCCCGCACAGAGAGATCAAGACACCTCGAGGTGGAGCCTCGCTGGTGGAAACGCACTGCGCATGTGCAAAGACAAACGCTTCGGTGTGCGACGAGTGCCAAAATACACCCGAAGTCCGCGACCGGTTTAAGATTCTGAAAATTTTTTGGATTGTATATGCAACCGTTCGTTTTCAAGCTGCCAGTGTGTCTGTGTGTTGTGCAAGCAGGGGCCTTGGAGCCTTGGAATCGCGAGGTGAGTTGGAATATTGAGTATTGCCGTCAATCATGTCCAAACTCTTTGGCCTTTAACAAGGCTCGACAGTTGGTGGCACTGGTCCTTAGATGACGAGGGCCGGCTAGGTGATTAGGTGAGAAATGGCAGCCATCAGCCTCACGGCCACATTGGTCGGCCGATGTTTTTTGTGGCTTCGGGAAACCGCGAAACCGATGCAACACAATAAATTGTGCTAGCTTACATATGTATTACCAGGCTTGTCCCCATGATTGGCCTGCTGGTTTGTCGGTTTCTTGATATGTGTAGCAGGAGAATCGACATACACCGGAGACACTCAGTCGCTGGCCTCTAGAACATTGTTATCTCTTGGGAGCACATCATACGGACACAAAGAGTCACATACGTATACAGATGTGCCTGGCTGTCTACCGCTACCAAAGCTTGTCTATCTATATATCTGTCCTATATGTGTATGTTTATTGGTTTAAACATGTGTAGCTCCACATTCATTCATGCATGCTTTCGTTCATTCATTCATTCATTCATTCATTCATTCATTCATTCATTCATTCATTTATGTGTTTTTGCAGATGCTGTGCATAATTCTTTTATTTGTCATTTATAATTGAATGGGTGCATTTATTCAGTATTTTTGGACTTGTTTTGGCAGCCGTGAACTTATGCATTTCACAATATGAATTGCTACAAGTTTGTATAAACTGCTACAAGTTTGTATATTAGTGCTCGGAAACCTTTCGTTTGTGCAATTTTGGAGGCAATTTTCAGGCAATTTTGAGGCAATTTTGGGAGCATTTTGGGACAGGGGCCCGGGGCCGGGGGGGCAATTTGGAAATGCAATTTTGGAGCTTTTTTGTGGCAATCTAAATATTTTCCACTCACAAGAGCTCAGCAGGGACCCGCCGACCACAACTTTAGGGGGTTTTCTCTTCGCTCGGCTTAAGTAATCACGCAGCTGGCCTGAAACCCTAAACCCTGGATCAGGCTCAGGGGTCTGGGATGTGAAGGGTTTTGG